AGTTCCGCAGATCCCCGCGGTGCCTCAGTCCGCAGAAACCACCATCAGCCATGGAAAGTGGCGACAGTGTCGCAGATCGCGGCCCCCCAGGGACGGCGAGGTCAGGGTCAGATCCCCGCGGTGCCTCAGTCCGGCAGCCCTCGAAAGTGGCGAAAGTGTCGCAGATCGCAGCCCCCCAGGGACGGCGACGTCCTGCTCAGATCCCCGCGGTGCTCCAGTCCGCAGGACCCACCAGCAGCCCTCGAAAGTGGCGACAGTGTCGCAGATCGCAGCCCCCAGGGACGGCGAGGTCCCGCTCAGATCCCCGCGGTGCCTCAGTCCGCAGGACCCACCAGCAGCCCTCGAAAGTGGCGACAGTGTCGCAGATCGCAGCCCCCCAGGGACGGCGAGGTCTACCTCAGATCCCCGCGGTGCTCCAGTCCGCAGGACCCACCAGCAGCCCTCGAAAGCGGCGACAGTGTCGCAGATCGCAGCCCCCCAGGGACGGCGAGGACTTCCGCAGATCCCCGCGGTGCCTCAGTCCGCTGGACCCACCAGCAGCCCTCGAAAGTGGCGATAGTGTCGCAGATCGCAGCCCCCCAGGGACGGCGAGGTCTACCCCAGATCCCCGCGGTGTCCCACTCCGTTGGACCCACCAGCAGCCCTCGAAAGTGGCGACAGTGTCGCAGATCGCAGAAACCCCGGGACAGCGAGGTCCCGCTCAGATCCCCGCGGCGCCTCAGTCCGCAGGACCCACCAGCAGCCATCGAAAGTGGCGAAAGTGTCGCAGATCGCAGCCCCCCAGGGACGGCGAGGTCCCGCTCAGATCCCCGTGGTGCCTCACTCCGCTGGACCCACCAGCAGCCCTCGAAAGTGGCACAGCGTCGCAGATCGCAACCCCCCAGGGACGGCGAGGTCTACCTCAGATCCCCACGGTGCCTCACTCCGCTGGACCCACCACCAGCCCTCGAGAGTGGCGACAGCGTCTTAGATCGCAGCCCCCCAGGGACGGCGAGGTCTACCTCAGATCCCCGCGGTGCTCCAGTCCGCAGGACCCACCAGCAGCCCTCGAAAGTGGCGACAGTGTCGCAGATCGCAGCCCCCCAGGGACGGCGAGGTTCGCGCAAGGCAAGAGGAGACAAGAGGGGAGCGGGAGATGGGAGGCGGGAGGCGGGAGGAGAACTGCAGACCGCAGTGCTCTATTCAAAACGAATACCCAGCCAAGGAGGGTTGGGAAAAAAACGATGCGCGCGCAAAAGCATGCCAGGTAGCTTCAGAGGGTCCCGCCGTGAATTCGCCGGCCCAACGGGCCAGGGCGTGCTAAGATCTCTGGTACCTGGTTAACAGTATTTCTAGTTCGCGCGCGCGGGGCGGCCCCTGGGGGTCCCCGGACGAAAAGTACCCCGGCAAGGTCCCGGCAAGTCCCCGGCAAGTCCCCGGCAAGTCCCCGGCAAGGTCCCGGCAAGGTCGGGTCAGAGATGCCGGAGAGTCCAAGAGGGCTCCAGATCGGTCCAAGAGGGCCCCGAGAAGCTTTCTAGACGGTCCAAGAGAGACCCGAGACGGCCAAAGATCGCCCGAAGACGCCCCAGATGGCCCCAAGACAGCCCAAGAGGCCTCCAAGACGCTCCAAGGGCCTTCCAAGAGGCCTCCGAAGAGGGCCCCAAGTTGCCAAAATCGTTGATTTTCATTGTTTTTTCTATGTTTTTTTGCGTTCTGGCCTTTTCGCTTCCGGACGCTCCAAGAGGGCCCAAGAGGCCTTCAAGACTGCTCCAAGACGGCCCACGAGGCTCCCAAGACGGCCCCGGAGCGGCCCAAGAGCGCCCCCCAGACGGCCCAAGTGCTGCCCAAGGCGGACCAAGAGGCCCCAAGACGGGCCCAAGAGGGGCTCAAGAAGGGAACCGAGAACTGAAAAATCGAGCCCTCCGCCCCAGAAGGCGCCCAGGACCCCGAAAGAGGCCCCAAGAGACTCTCCAAGACACCCCCAAGACGCCCCAATAAGCTCCCGTGAGGCCCCAAGAGGACCAACAACGTCAGGCCCCAGGCCCCAAGAGGACCAACAAATACCGCCAAGAGCCCGCCGAAAGCCCCCCAAGAGACCGTCACGAGAGCTCAGGAGGCCCCCTGGAGGTCTCCCGAGTTCTCCCAGAGGCCTAAAAAGAGGCGCCAAGAGGCCCCAAACGGCCCCACCGAGGCTCCAAGAGGCCACGAACGCGCAAGCAAACGCCTGCGATGGCACAATACGGGCCGGCGGAATGAGCGAAGCGATTAAATAAACCACTACGTCGGAAGTCAGGGGAGAGAGGAGGGAAGGAGGAGGGAGGACGGCAGCAGGGAGGCGAGAGGAAGACAGACAGGAGAAGAAGGGGGAGTAGCCCCCTCGCCCCGAAGGAAGCAGCCGAGAGGGAAGCGACCAGGACAAGGCAGCCGTGGCGCCTCCTCCGACTGCTCCTCCTCCTCCTCCTCCTCCTCCTCCTCCTCCTCCTGCTCATCCTCCGCCTCTTCATCATCATCGTCATCACCATCATCAGCAGCAGCAGCAGCGGCAGCATCATCATCATCCTCCTCATCATCGTCATCATCATCATCGTCATCATCATTATCATCGTCATCATCATCATCATCATCATCATCATCATCATCATCAGCATCACCATCATCATCATCAGCAGCAGCAGCATCACCATCATCAAAATCAGCATCATCATCAGCATCATCATCAGCAGCAGCATCATCACCAGTCCCCTTGACACTAGCTCCCGCTGAAAACATGCCTTTCCGAGGATACGCGTCATTGTCCTCCTCCTCGTCCATCCACGTGCTGTTGCCTGTCATCTTCCTCCTCCTCCTCCTCCTCCTCCTCCTCCTCCACTGTCTCCTCCTCCTCTTCCCCCTACCCCTCCTACTCCTATCCTTATTCCTTATTGGTACATACGCCCGCCCTGCCACAAAACCAGCGGATGGCAACTGGATAGGGGAAGCCCCATCCGACCTGTCAAAAAACAGTTCAAGATCCATGTTTTTGGTCGCAACATGGGCGCTCTGTCGCCGACGCTGCAGAATGCGTGGCCGCAATGGGGCGCGGCGCACAGCCAGCGCGAAAGGCCAAAATGTCGCTCTCGCCTGAGCGCCGCTGTCATTTTTCTGAAGAAGCGGGCTTCCTCTTCGGCGCGGCGCACATTCTTCGCACACAACTTCGTTGACGCGCGAGCGGGCGAAAATGTCGCCCTTGACTCGGCGCCGCGCGCCAGTGTGGGAGGGGGGCCCGCTCGCGTGGGCGACGTGTCACAAGTGCCCAGGCTCCGGGCGCATTTCGCTCGGAAGTGGCGTTCCCGTGCGGGCGCCGCATGGAGAGCGACAGCGGCAGCGGGGCCGCGCGAGAGCGAGCGAAATGCCGACCTCGCCAGAGCGCCGCGCAGCTTGCGAATGAAGGTGGCAACGCTGTGTCAGCGCGGCGCATGCTTCGTCTTCGCCGCGCCCGTCGGAATGCCTGCCGCTCCCGCCCCTGCGCGGCCCGCGAAGACTTCCCTTAACCAAGCCCTCCGAAGTAGGAACGCGCGCGAGCGCCTTCCGTTGGCGAGGTGGGAACGCGTCCCAATCCCAATATAGAATCGTGCCACAATAGGTTTTATGTTGCACAAGGGGGAGGTGGGAATAGGCGGGGCCCTCTGACTCGCTCGACCTGGCTGACCTGACTCCTCCTCCTCCGCCTCCTGCTCCTCCTCCTCCTCCATTTCCTCCTCCTCCTCCTCCTCCTCCTCCTCCTCCTCCTCCTCCTCCTCCTCCTCCTCCCCCTACTCCTCCTGATCCTCCCTCTGCCTCCTCACCTTTTTCCTCCTCGTCCTCCTCCTCCTCCTCCTCATCCTCATCCTCCTCCTCTTCCTCCTGCTCCTCAAGATCCACCAATTCCTCCTCCTCCTCCTCCTCCTCCTCCGCCTCCTTCTGCTGCTACTTATTATCCTCCCTCCTCATCCTCCTCCTCATCATCAGCATCATCATCAGCCTCCTGATCCTCCCACCTCCTCTCCTCCTGATCCTCCCACCTCCTCATCCTCCTCCTCCTACGCGCCTCCTCCTCCTCCTCCTCCTCCTCCTCCTCCTCCTCCTCCTCCTCCTCCTCCTCCTCCTGATCCTCATCCTCATCCACCACTTCCTCCTCCTCCTCCCCTCCTCCTCCTCCTCCTCCTCCTCCTCCTTCTCCTCCTCCTCCTCCTCCAACTCCTCCTCCTCCTCATCATCATCCTCCTCCTGATCCTCCCTCCTCCTCCTCCTCCTCCTCCTCTCCTCCTCGTCCTCCTCCTCCTCCTCCTCCTCCCCTCCTCTCCTCCTCCTCCTCCTCCTCCTCCATCACATCATCATCATCATCATCCTCCTCCTACTCCTCCTCCTCCTCTGCCCTCCTCCGCCCTCCTCCGCCTCCTCCTCCTCCTCCTCCCTCTCCTCCCTCCTCCTCCCTCCTCCTCACTCCTCCTCCTCCTCTTCCTCCTCCTCCTCCTCCTCCTCCTCCTCCTCCTCCCTCCTCCTCCTCCTCCTCCTCCTCCTCCTCTTCCTCCTCTCCTCCTCCTCCTCCTCCTCCTCCTCCTCCTCCTCTCCTCCCCCCCCCTCCCCCCCCTCCCCCCCTTCCTCCTCCTCCTCCTCCTCTCCTCTCCTCTCCTCCTCCTCCTCCTCATCATCCTCCTCCTCCTCCTCCTCCTCCTCCTCTCCTCTCTCCTCCTCCTCCTCGTCCTCCTCCTCCTCCCCCTCCTCCTCCTCCTTCCTCCTCCTCCTCCTCCTCCTCCTCCTCCTCCTCCTCCTCCTCCTCTTCCTCCTCCCTCCGCACCTCCTCTTCGGACTGTCTTCCGGCGCCGCACGACGACGACAACGACGAAAACGACGACAACGACGCCGACGAGGGGGTGCGGCGGCGATCGCGACGACGTTTGGCGCGGCTGCCGCGGACACCACGACGGCGGCGGCAACGACGGCGGCGACGACAGCGGCGGCAGCCGCGGGCGGCGGGGCGGCAGGGCGCTGGGGTGGGCCGCCATCTCGCGTGGTCCTGACCGGCCGCCTTCAGCCGAACCTGCCGCGCCACCTGGACGACCGGTTTGTTTGGCGGGCGGGGCGCCCAGCCCCCACCAGGGAAGCAGGAAGGAGGACACGATACGATATGAAAGCGCTGGGGGTAAGCTCATCACGTTCATCTCTGTGCTACAATCGATCATCGTAGCCTTCGATTTGTATACTGCGAACGGCAGCATAAGATGAGAAGACTTACAGTCTGCCAAAAAAATTGACGCGGGGAGGAGGAGGAGGAGGAGGAGGAGGAGGAGGACGAGGACGAGGACGAGGACGACAGGAGGAGGAGGATGAGGAGGAGGAGCAGGAGGAGGAGAAGAAGGAGGAGGGAGGAGAAGGAGGACCAGAGTAACCCCAGTATGTTTCAGCGATGCTGTGACGCACCTTCCTGTCACCTACAAGCCGTCCTTCTCACCGCACGAGGCGACCCTTTCAAATACAAGCATTGTATGAATGAAAAATACACCACCACCAACACCATCAGCACTCAGCACTACCACGCTAATTCATCACCATGTTCCTCCTTTCCCTTCTCCTTTTCCTTCTCCTCCACCTCATCCTCTTGGTCTTCCTCCTCCTCCTCCTCCCCCTGCACCCCCTCCTTTTCATCCTCTCTCCTCCTCTTCCTCCTCCACCTCCTCCGCCTCCACCACCTCCTCGTCTCTTCCCCCTGCTCCTCTTCCTCCTCCTCCTCCTCTCCTCCTCCTCCTCCTCCTCCCTCCTCCTCCTTCCTCTTCCTCCTCCTCCGCTTCCTCCTCCTCCTCCTCCTCATCCTCCTCATCCTCTTCCTCTTCCTCCTCCTCCTCCTTCTCCTCCTCTTCTTCCTCCTCCTCTTCCTCCTCTTCTTCCTCCTCCTCCTCCTCCTGTTCCTCCCCCTTCTCCTCCTCATCCTCCTCCAGCCGTTTTGGCCCCGACCGCTCGCCGTGCTCAGGTGCACTGCGAGCTTTTGTGGCCACCGACAATCTCCAAGCGATTTCGGCTGGGATCAGAAGTCTCCGAGTTCGGGGATCCAGATCACTAATAGTCGGTCAGCCCGATGGGTAAAAGCAAGAAGTGGCGACAGGCTCGGAAAATGCAGGAGGTGCAGGATGGTGAACCCTGGCCGCCCCTCCCACGTCCACCTGGGCCTCAGCACCTGCAGCAAGCGCCTCCAACGAGTTCCAGTTTCGGCTGGGCACCGTGGCACCCTGTGGCTCAGCAGCCGTGGGTTGTGCCGCCGCCTCCGCCATGGCCAGGGGCTCAGAGGAAGCCTCGCGAAGGGGCACAGCAGTCGCAGGACAAGAAGGTCAAGTGCTCGTCGTGCCCGCGTTGGGCTTGGACGAGTAAGTTGCCGATGTATCAGAATACGTGCCTGTGTGGAGCGCCCTTCAGCAACCTACCTCCTCCTGGGGCGGGTGATGGCGAAGGGGCGGGCCCTAAGGCCGCGAAGGGCAAGGGCAAGGGCAAGCATTTGCAGCAGCAGGCCGCCCTCGAGGAGCAGCTAGAGGCCGTCATCAAGGGAGGCGGATCCGAGCAGGCGAAGGCGACCCAGGCGCTGCTGGATGCGACTCGGGCTGCAGGAAAAAAGGCGGAGTCGGCGCAGCCCATCACTCAGCAGGTGACGGCGGCGGCGTCGAAGGTCCAGAAGGCCCAGACGGCTTTCGATAAGGCGCAGTCTCAGCAGCTCAAGTTGACGATGGAGCTTGAGAAGTGCAAGAGCACCATGCAGCATGCAGCAGCCACCTTGGCCCGAGCCGAGGCAGAGAGGGCCACGTTGTTCCGCTCGATGGTGCCCACGGTTGCGGCTCAGACTCCTGCACAGGCGGGGGTGTCTTCCAACACCATCGATTTGTCGGCGCTGATGCCTGCTCAGTCGGTGGACGAGTCCCTGTTCACTTTGTCGTTGGGTGAGGAGTTCAGCAATGCGGATGGGCTCATTCCCCCATCGGACGTCGCTGAGTTGGACAAGCGCAAGAAGGCGGTGATGGAGGCGTTGATGCACACCCTGCGCGCCACCTTCGGCGAAGCTCATGACAAGCTGAAGGAGCATAGGGATAAGCTCGCGGAGATGCGCGAGAAGATCACCAAGAGGCGCAGGGAGAACTCCCCTGGGCCACCGCCCGTTGCTGGGGCAGGCGCCGCTGCTGGGGCAGCCGCGGCTCCTGCAGGCGACGCCGCTGCGCAGGCTGCGGGCCAGGCGCCTGATGCGCCTGCAGCGTCTGCGGCGCCAGCGGCCGCCCCTGGTGGGGATGCGCCTGCGGCGGCGACCGCTCCTGGAGCACATGATGCAGTTGAGGCCGCCCGTCTGGCGGCCATTGAGTCCAAGTTGAAAGAGGAGGCGGAGGCGACGCTGGCCACGGCGAGGTCGACGGCGGCTTCGGCAGGCCAGTCTGGCCTTTAGCCAATCTGATCCCCTCGTTCGCGGCGGGCCTAGTGTTCGAGGGGCGTGCCCGCCTTTACCACGTACAAGAGCGGCCCCTACTTGTTCGTCGACGAGGCGAACTCTGCATATGCGAAACCTGGGTGGATGGGGCCCTGCCACGCGGTCGGTCTGTCGCGATCGTGAAGCGGATATCCTTGTCTTCCCAGAGACCCACGTTCCAGTTGCGGGGTCCCACGACTTGCTGCATGACTGGAGGAAGGCCGGCTACATTGGCATGCTCTCTGCGGCTTACGAGTCGAATGGTAAGTCCAAGGCAGGAGGCATCACCATGGGCACCCATAAGAAGTACAAGGTTCAGTCGATGCGCCACCTAGCCTCATCCCCCTCAGATCAGGTCGGGTTGCGAGATTTGGATCGAGATCCGAAGGACCAGCCTGGCATTGATTTTCGGGATATGGTGGCCATGCAGCTGAGGGCCCAAGGCCAGTCTTTGTTGATTGTTGGAGTATACATGACCTCGTCGGTGGGCCCGAAGGCGAATGCTTCCAAGCTAGCCAACGCTGGCACTCTGGTTTCCACGATCCAGGGGCCATGGCTGGCCATCGGTGATTGGAATATGACGCCGAAGGAGCTGGCTAGCACAGGCTGGCTGGCCTTGGTCAACGGCGCGATCATCACCCCCACCAACACGGAGTATACCTGCACGCTGGGCTCAGGTCGAATGTTGGACTACATGGTTGTGTCTCAGCATGCGGTGCCTTGGGTCGAGTCGTTGCTTGCTGACTTTCAGGCGGTCGAGGAGGCGGGGAAGGCTCACTACGGTCTCAAGCTTCAGCTCAACTTCGACGCCAGTCGGGCCCGAGCTTGGATCACGCGGTTGCCTCGTGATTTCCCTCATCCTGCTCGCCCAAAGCCTGTAGCCGACCCTGACAGCAAGCGTTCGCAGAAGAAAGCGGAGGCCCGGGCCCTTCGGGATGCTCGCCCCCAGCCGACGTTGACGCCATCTCCGCCGACGTGGGGACCGAGGCGTAAGCTGAGCATCAAGAGCCCTCCGCCCTTGCAGTACTCCCTCTTTGGTGAGGACGAAGACGAGCTTTTCACGGACGAGGAAGATACGGATGTCCCTGAAGATAACGATGATGAGCAGGTGGCCGTCTCGGATTCTGAATTGGACACTTACGCTTCCATCCAGGCTGAGTGGTCTGCTGAGGCGAAGGGCTTGTTGTGGCAGCAGGTGGCGCCCAGGCCTTCGCAATCGGTTATTCATGTTCCTGATTTTGTTCAGCAGTCTCTGGCCTTTCAAGCTGCTGATGATGACGCTCAGGCTCTTGGTACTGAATTCGCAACCTGGGTGTCCACCATGGAGTTGTATTATCTCGAGTTGTATAAGGTGGATCCCTTGGCGAGAAGGCAGTATTGTGGACGTTCTCAGCTTCGGGGCCCTCAGCTTGGTTGTTATGAAGGTAGCAAGCCCTATCCCACAGTTGCTGACCCCAGTGCTAGATGGTGGGGGACGGTAGCTAACTTGCTAGACGAACTTGTCGGTCAGAAGGGAAACAAGCGAGACCTTCCCCGTGCCCGTCACCTGCGAGACCAGTTGCGACATCTTGCGGGGGCGATTCCCTCCTCGCAGATTGTCCCTCTTCCTGCTCGCCGTCGGGATCGGTGGTTGAGGAGCTTGCGCACGCTGGATGGAGCCTCGCATGATTCTCTGACGAAGTTCGCCGAAGGAGCGCGTGCGGCCTCGGACCAGGCCCAGCGTGCTGTTGCGCGGCAGCGGCACCAATCCTTCCGCGACTGGGTGCACCAGCAGGCCGTTCTGGGTTGTGGAGCTCTCCATCGTTTTGTACGTGATCCCACGGCTGAGGTCTCGGAAGTGAGGCTGGACGGAGCTACCTCTTGCGACGCTGCTTCAGTGATGGAGGCGAAGGCAGCGGTCTGGACCCAGCTCTGGACACCGTCGGGACACGACGATGGCCTCGCTCTCCGTGTGCTGAACAAGGCTCGTCAGCTGGCGTTGCACGACGTGCTGGAGCCGCTCACCCTGGATCAGCTGGAGGAGGCGCTCCGTGGCATTTCGCCGCGGAAGGCCCGTGGCATCGAGTCGGTCGGCCAGAGGGACGTGTGGTGGCTGCCTGAGTCTGGCCGCCGCGCGCTGCTCGCCATCTTCCAGCAGGTGGAAGCTAGGGTCGCGTGGCCTTGGCAATGGCTGACTGCCATCATCGTTTTGCTTCGCAAACCTGATGTGCGTAAGGATCGCGCCATAGGATTGCTCACCTGGTTGGGTCGGTTGTGGAGTCGCTTGCGGTCTCGGCCTGCGGAGAGTTGGGCTTCTGCTCGCTCTGGCACTTGGGGCGCCGCGGTTCGAGGCAACAGCGCTCTACGAGAGGCTCTGCTCAGGTGCTATGCTGATGAGGCTGCTCTTGCGTCTGTGCTGCCAGAGTATTGCTCAGCGTCGATCCCGTGGGATGTCGAAGCTTTTTATGATACCATTCGATGGGAAAAGGTTGTCGATCATGCGATCGACTTGGATTTTCCCCCTCACCCCTTGGCCCTGGAAACTATTCTCCATATGGGGCCCAGGCTTTTGCGGGACGAGGGGGTCTATGCCCCTCCCATTCTTCCGCACGGGGGCCTCGTGGCTGGCGCTCGCAGGGCCCCCGATTTCTCGAAATGCCAGATGTTCGAAATTTGTGAGCGTGCGTGAGCCAGTAGTTCTCTTGTGTCCCTGCGCACCTGGATTGATGATGTCACTCAGCGTGCCGAGGGATTGAAGCGAGATGTAATTCGGGAGCTCATTTCCTCCGGTGCTGTTTTTGTGTCGGGATGTGAATCTGAGCAGCTCAAGATTGCTAACAAGTCGACCATCGTGGCGTCAGAGCTGTCGGTGGCGAGAGCGATCCAAGATGGTCTAGGTCTGAAAGGCATCCAGGTCGATGTGGCCTCGGTTGCGGCGGATCTTGGCATCGAAAGAGGCAGTGGCGTTGCAGTTGCCAAGCCTCGTCATTCAAAGCGTTTGGGTCAGGCCACTCGTCGAGCCTGCCGAATTAGTAAGCTAGCTGCAGTGGCCCCTCGTAAGATCGGGGCGCGGTTGATCCTCACTGGGGCTTTGCCGCAGGCTTCTTACGCCTGGAAGGTCTTTGGGGTCGCGCCCTCGGTCCTGCAGAAATGGAGGAGGGCACTCGCTAGCACTTTAGCTCGTGGCACGGCAGGGCGATGTCTCACGACCTTGTTGGCGCTCGAGGTTCGGAAAAAGGACCCAGCTTTCACCACTGTGTTTCAGCTGCTGGAGTCCTGGTTTCAGATTGTTGCTGCGTTGCCAGAAAAAGGTTTGGATCGCATGCGTGCCTGTTGGAAAGCCACGGTTGATCGTATCGACTCCTTGGGCCCCCAGCGCAGGTGGCATAATGTCAAAGGACCCGTCTCTGCTGTGGTGGCCACGTTGACGGCCCTGGGATGGAAGCTCGTGGGGCCGTGGTCTTGGGTTGCTCCTGGGGGGGTTGTCTTCGCCTTGCCCGATGAGCTTCGCCCCCAGGCTTTTATGACGTCGGATTTTAAGAAAGAAGTGGACCGAAGCATTGAGGCGCGTTTATGGTCCGCTGCCGCCGATTTCCGCCATGGAGGGGGTCTTGCATCTGGCGTCGACCTTACGGTCCCGTGGAGGCACCTTGCGTCTCTGCGACGAAAGTCGGTGCAGAAGTGGGGCTTGCTTCGGGCGGTCCTCACTGGGGCTG